ACTACCTGTCCCTGCTTTCATCTTCTGCAGGTCTTTTAAAAATCTAAGATGGTTCATGAGTTTTTTGTGTACCCACATTGATCTTTTTTGACAACTTTCCCTTTCCGTCCTCATCAGTATTGTTTCTCTTTATTCTTTCAGAATGTCATTCTTGAGAGCTTCCCATCCATCCTGGAAGCATGAAAGTACAGGGCGTGTTGGAAGCACAGAGAATAGCCAATTAGGCTAATTTGTCTGCAAGGTAGAGTTTGAGGAGGGGAGTAGTATCAGGCAAGAAAAGAAAGGTAGAGGTTGTCAGATTGTGGATGATTTCGGATGTCATGCTAATGAAATTCAATAAATTTGATATATGGATGAAGGACCTGCACTAAAAGGAATCAGAACTCAGATACGTGCAATTATCAGTCTTAATTCCGGAAGAATGATGATCAAACATGCCATTCTTTTGGAGAGAGGCAGTAGATTATGGTGCAGACTGCTGAAAGATATTTTTACTAATATGTTTTTGCGTTTTGCCTAATTGTAGTTCTTATCAGGAATAGTTTGGGGGAGGTGGTTGGACGGCATTGCAAAAACAAAAACAACTATCAGTAGAACTTAAAAAATAAAAAAGATAAAGGGTCTGGGAAAATGTGATTATATACAATGAGCTCTGCAATTCAAAGATCCCAATATTTTCACAAAATCATAATTTCATCCATTTGGACATTCCTTTTTTACCAATGAAATTCACAGAAGTGTTTACAATCTTATCAGGAAAGAGGATGGCGTGGGATGGGATGATACGGTCACAAATAAGCTGGAGTACCAGGTAGGGGGCTGGTAGCATGGCATAGTGCTGAACTGGGGTTCAGAAAGACCTGGGTCGAAATCCCATTTTTAACACTTATTAGATGTGGGCTTGTAATGGAGAAATCACTTATTTTCTCAACCTCAAGCAACTCTCTAAGACTTATCTAATACTTGACTAACTAACCAGTCAACAACAACCAATAATAGCAGCAAATATTCATATAGGGCTATGTGCCAGGCAGTGTGCTAAATGTTTATCTCATTGGATCCCCACAACAACTCTGGGAAGTAGGTGTTATTATTATCCCCATTTTATTGTTGGGGAAACTGAGGCAAACAGAGGTTAAATGACTTGCCCCGGGTTATATAGCTAGCAAGTGTCTGAGGTCAGATTTGAATTCAAGTCTTCCTGACTCCAGGCCCAGTGCTCTTTCCACCGCATTACTTAGCTCGATCCTAGAGGTCTGGTTGCCCCTATCCATTGATCGTTCTCTATGCTCTGGCTGACGAAATTCCCAGTTTCCTTTTTTCTTATTTCCTAGTGCTTAAGAGTCAGCATCTGCTGAGGCAAAAAACTCTCTTTCCCCACCCCCCCGCCCCATCCTTTCTCTCTGTGTACTCTCATCCATTTCCCACTTAGCCCTACCCCTCCATAGTCCACATCCTCTTCCACTCTTCTGTTCCATTGCAAACTTTAGAATCCTGACTCTGTTCATAGATAACATTCATTTGGATCAAAGACTAAAGCTAGAAGAGACCCTACAGATTATCTAATCCAAACTCCTTACCTCACAGATGAGAAGACTAAGACTCAGGGAACTTGTGAGTGACCCAAGATCACTTGGATAGTAAGATGGGATCCACAATCAGATCCTGTGACTTCAGGTTCAGTGTTCTTTCCATGGTACCATGTTGTTATTAACAAATTCTCTCCATCCTGGATTTGTTCATCTTCTTTCTAACCACTGGCCTCCCAGTTAATTAGTCTCCTAAATTTTCCTATTCTTCATTTTCATTACATTGCATTCATATATAGGGATAGTCATGCATTTGATCTGATGGCCACCCATGACTGTCCTGCCTCTATGATCCAGAACTCTGAAATTCCTTTCTCTAACTCCGGCTTCTTTTCCTTCAACTTCTCCCCCTGCCTTACTCCTCATAAAACTATTCTTTGTTTTTCTCATGCCTCCAGTCCCACCATCTCTGCTTATTCTCCCTGTCTGTTATTCCTACTTCGCCTCACTTTTTTATCTTCAGTACAGACCCCACAGTTGACCATTGTAACCAGTTACTCTTGGATTCTTTGTCACTAGTTATGCCTTGCAAAACCTCAACTTTAGGTCACACCCACCACCTAGTTTTTCTTCTACTCAAGTGCTGCTGTATGTTACTGAAAAAACACATAAAACCATCCTGATTGGGTTCACTACAAATCTATGATAATTAATCTCAACTGTGACATTACTGCTATCTGGTAATCCTTTTACTCTTTCCTGATTGCTTTCTGATCACTTTCTCTACACTGGCTGTTTCTTCCACCTCAAAACCCTCATATCTCCTCTCATCTCCTTCATAGCAGATTTCACCTCCTCTTTTACTGGAAAAAAATAGAGGACATCATTTAAGGGCTCACTCTTCTCCCCTCCTTCTACTATAGTGCTTGGCACATAAAGGGGCTTAATAAATCATTGTTGATTGATTGACTCATCATCCAACATTTTCTTTTCTATGTTCTGGTCTCTGATGAAGTGGTCCTTTCCTTTGCCAAGGCTAGCCTCTCCATTTGTATTTTTAATCTTATTCTTTCTAATTGTCTCCTAGTAAGCTATAGGTAATGAAGTGGATAAAGTGCTAGGCCTGGAGTCAGGAAGACCTGAGTCAAAATATGATCTCTGACACTAGCTGTGTGACCCTAGGTAAGTCACTTAACCTCTCTGCCTCAGTTTCCTCAACTATAAAAGAGCGGGAATAATAAAAGCACCTACCTTGCAGGGTTGTTGTAAGGATCAGGTGAGATAATGTTTGTAAAATACATAGCACAGTAGATGCTATATAATTACTTATTCCTTTTCTTTCCTTATGATACCTTGCCTTCTCATTCATTCCCTCTCATCCCTTCATTTTAATCTGTCCATATCCTTTCCTCCTTCTCTTTTCCCCACAAAAGTGCCAAGGATCCCACATTCTTTTTTTTTTCTTTTTGAGGCAATTGGGCTTAAGTGACTTGCTCAGGGTTACACAGCTCATAAGTGTCTAAGGTTGGATTTGAACTCATTGCCTCCTGACTCCAGGGCCTGTGCTCTATCCATTTTGCCACCTAGCTTCTTAAAATTTGTTTATTTGACCCTGCCATCCTTGAAAAACATCAATCAATCAACCACTAAGTATTTATTAAGCACCTAATACAGCACTATGCTAGGTACTGGAGATAGAAACACAATGAATTAAAAAAATCCTTACTTGCCATAAGCTTACATTACAATGATGTAATTACTTATTATTGTACTAAATACAATTATGTATGTACTTATATAACATGTAACATTTACAGTTTTATACAATCTGGCTCCCATCTACCTTTCTAGTGATTTCACATTCTTCCTCTTTTTGCACTATTTCCAACAAGCTGATTGGCTAGCTGTTTCCTGTAGTAGACATTGCACCTCTCACCTGCCCTGCCTTTATACAGGTGGTTTCCTACGTCAGGAATGCCATACCTCTTCATTGTTGCCTTTTGGAGTTTCCAGCTTTTGTACAGAGCACAGCTTAGGTGTCTGTTAATTCTTACTAGAGGCTTTTCCCAGTCCTCATAGTTGTTAATGCTCTTTCCCTGTTGAAGTCACTTTGTATAATTTTATGCCTACGTTGTAGAGCTGTTGTACCTCCTGTGAGAGAACATAAGCTATTTAAGAAAGGGAACTGTTTTTGTTATTTTTTGGTCGTGGTAGCTCCACTATCTAGAACAGTGCCTTGTCTGCAATTGAGCAGAACAACCCAGCTTTTAATGCCCTACTATGCCATCCAGTCACAATTAGTTCAAATATTTTGCATTAACTTCTCTGTCTATATATTGTACTTTCCAATACAATGTAAATTTTTTGAGGCCTGTAAGACCTGTAACTGTTTCCTTCCCCTTTTTGAATCTCGACTCTAGCACAGTGACTAGCACATAGTAGGTTGTTCTTAAGAGCAAAGGAGCCAATGTGATAGCAGCTTAACCTCTGCTTCAGTTTTCTCAACTGTAAAATGGGGATAAGAGCATTTCCCTCACAGGGTTGTGGTGAGAATTATATGAGATAATATTTGTAAAAGCGTTTAGTACAGTACTTTGCACAAAGTAGGCACCACACAAATACTTATTTCTATTCCTTTCCTTGGTTAGGGAGATACCACTGGGCTGAGGTCAGAGGGGCTGCACCAATCCCTGTTCTTTACCTGCTAATCCAAAAATGGGATGAATCATTATCTTTATTAACAAGGGCTTAAGAATGCTTGTTGAACAAACGAATGAATGAAAGTACAGAGAGTAGTAAAGCAATGCACAGTACATTTAAGTTAAGGAAAATAAGACTCGAGGTAAATAAAGGCAAAGGCACAGCTAGGTGGCATAGTGGAGACAGCGGCAGACCTAGAATGAGGAAGATGAGTTCAAATTTGGCCTCAGACACTTACTAGCTGTGTGACCCTGGGCAAGTCACTCAACCCTGTTTGCCTCAGTTTCCTCATCTGTCAAATGAGATGGTGAAGGAAACGACAAACCACTCCAGTATCTTTGCCAAGAAAACCCAAATGGGGTCACGAAGAGTCAGACATGACTAAAACGAGTGAACAACAACAACAAAAAATAAATGTAAAATAAGTGCGGTTATTTCGTCTGCAGTTCTTTAAAGACGAGGTTCCACTCTTGAAGGCAGGCGTTCGTTAACTTCTGGTCTTTAAGACTACAAATCCCAGAATTCCATGACCCACCTTGGCTCTTAAGTCTAAGGAGGTCCGAATACAAACTATCCCCCGCCAAACTACAAATCCCATCACACCCAATGGGTTCCGGAAACTTTTCGTCTCTGACCAGTTGCCATAGCATCCGGGTCCGTGGCCAACTACCCGGGCCCGTGCGAAGAGCTGAGGCGGGTCTTTGGCCAAGCGGACCAATAGGGCATCTATTTGCTACTGAGCATGACCGGAAGAATCCTGAGGGGAAAGCCGGCGCTGTCTCCTTCCCGCTGTCCCTGTGGTGGCCCGTGTCTCACCCGCGGGGAAAGAACAAGGGCAAGGGGGACCGGGCGGCCTCTGCTCCCAGCGGTGGGGGTGCGTGCGTACCAGACGGGGATCGGGGCCGCTCCGCTAGTGCAGGGCCGCAGTGCGAGCAGGAGCCATGGGCGGGACGTCCAGCACCCGACGGGTCACCTTCGAGGCGGACGAGAATGAGAACATCACGGTGGTGAAGGGCATCCGGGTGAGCGAGGGGGTGGCGGGGTCGGGTGCCCAGGCTCGCGTCTCTGGACCTAGGCCCAAGACCCGTCCCCTTAAGCCTGGCCGAGGATCGCCGGATGGGGTTGAGGACTTAAAGAGTTTGAGCTGGAAGGATCTTTAGCCCTCAAGTAACCGCATTTAACAGAAGAGGAAACTGAGGCTCAGAGAGGGGAAGTGACTCGTCCGAGACCCCTCCTGGGTTTCACTTCTACTTGCCCTAACTTCTCTTGGCTCTGGCTGAGCGACCAGGGCTCTCTGTGCCCTCTCTGGGAGGCACCGTGTCCTGGGACTTTGACTTTGCCAGCCTGGGCCTCTGCACTTTTGGGTGGCTCGCAGCTTCCCGCCCTGCCCCAGCTTCTCCAGGTCACCAGAGTCCTGGGCACCACGTGTCTCCCTTTCCTGGGCCACTTTGTGCGAGTGTGTTTATGGGTTGGAGGGTTCTGTTTTTTACTGCCTCTTATATAGAAGGCCACCTGATAGTCAAAGGACTTTGGAGTTGCAAAGGACCCTAGAGATCACATCCTGTTAGTCCAGCTCTCTTATTTTACTTTACTTTCTCCCATATTTAGAGGAGAAAACAGGTCCACATTTAGTGAAGTGACTTGTCTAAGTTCCACAGGTCGCAGATCCTGGAGCGGTGCCTTCTGATTCCTATTCCAGGGCTCTTTCTAACATGACATCAGCTAGTTCTTCTTTTTTTTCACCTTTTTTTTAAACACTCTAAGAAATTCAGGCAGTTGGTAATGAAGTATCTGTTAGTGTAGTGTAAGACTGAATCAACTTAATATGGAAGTATGTATTGCACAATTTCATGATTATAGTTGATATCACATTTCTTGCCTTCTCAATGGGTAGGAGAGGGGAGGAAGAGAAAGAATTTTGAACTCACAATTTAAAAAAATGAGTGTTAAAAATAAACAGATAATAATTTTATATGAAAAAAGGTTGAATCAGCTTAAGATAAATGTTAGAATGGGATTTGTATTATTCCTGCATTAAAGTTAACAGAGTTGGGTATACCAGACCCTTAGGGTTGGTATATCCTTGCTAACTCCATGCATTATCCATCACACTTGTTTTTGGAAGTAGGATGTCTAAAATTAATAAATGAAATTATGTTTAATGAATGTTATAATAGTAATAGACACGTAAACACACCCTTATTTATTCAGCTGCTTCAGAACTAGCCAGATTTAATAAAGTGTTATCTTTCAGTAATTATTACCAGATAATAAGCTACATGAGTAGCTAGATAATTATAAGCTTTATGCTTTGAATGTGTTGCCATACTAAGTGAACCAGAATCATGAAATCACAGATTTTGAGAGAAGGGAGGGACCTCAGCAGCCATCTAGTTGAAATTATACACAGAAGGAATCCCACTATAACATCTGATATACTGGTCATCCAACTTATGTTTGAAGATCCCCAAGGAGGGGAACTCTGTCTCATCTCTAGAGAAGTCATTCCTTTTTTGGATGTTTTAGGAATGTCCAGTTAGAAAGTTTTTATAGTTAATAAGCCTAAATTTACTTGTCTGCAGATTCTACCTGTTGCTCCTGGTTTGGCCCTCCAGGGTCAAATGGAACATATCTCATTCCTTCTTCACACGACAGCCCTTTAAATATTTGAAGGCAGTGATCATATTCCCCTTGAATCTTCTCTTCTTTAGGCTAAATTTGACCAGGTCCTTCAATTAATCCTCATATGCCATGGACTCAAGGCTCTTCAACATCCTGGTTCCCTTCCCTTGGACACTACAATTTATCAGTATCCTTCTTGAAGTGTGGTGCTTGGAAAGTGAACACAGTACTCCAGATGATGTCTGCTGAGGGCAGAATGTAGTGAAACTATCATCTCCCTATACTTGGAAGCTAGGTCCTTAATGCATCCCAGGATCCTGTTAGGTTTTTTTTTTTTTTAAACACATCAGTGCTGAGTCTTATTGAACTTGCAGTCCACAAAGACCTCCATATTATTTTTAGAATAACTGCTTTCTATTCATGCCTGTTGTTCAATTTTTTATTTATAATCCAGTTTCTTTTTCATGATTATCAGTGATAGTATCAAGCTTTGTATTACAGTTTGAAGTTGATTTTTTTGAGTTATTGTGTTTTAGTCTCTTGATATGTATTCATTCAGTAAACATTAATCATGTATTATGTGCAAAAATCGCTCTGCTCCACTGTTGGGATACAAAAATGAGTTAGATACAATCTCTGCCTTCAAGGAGCACACTGTTTGGGAAATAGTTTGTTTTGTGTTGTAGGCAAGTGAATAGCAGGTATAGAAGTTCAGTTCTGTGTAAGATCTAAGCAGGGAGGAATGACTTCTGGACTTGGGGGTAGGGATCAGTGAGCTTGAGGGATAGGTGGGATTTCAACAGGTTGGTGTGAGGCTTCAGGAAGGGAACAGGCAGATTATGTTGTAAATACAGATTGGGCTGAGCAAATGCATGGAGGTAGAAATTGCCCTAGATTTATTCAAGAAAAAATATAAAAAGTTTAAGAGGTAGGGTGTGAATTGTTTCATATTCAGTCACAGGTGGTTGCCAATGGGTTTTATTTGTTTTTCTGATAAGGGAAAGCTATTAGAATGAGGAGGGCCTATCAGACGGAAAAACTGTAGCATTGAAAAAGGACATCTATTAAATTTTACTCCCTTCGTTCCCTGAAAAAAGAAAAGAAATGTAGAGATAGGAGTATCTTGTGAAGGTTATTAAGATCAGAACTAAGAAATTTGGGCTTTTTAAAGTAGGGAATGAGGAACCATTAAAGGTTTGAGCAGGGGAGACAAATGGGCTGATCAGAGGTGTGCATCAGAATGATTTAATTGATGGCAGGTGTGTAGGAGGAGAGCTCAGAGTAGCGAAAAGCTAGAGGTGAAGGAATCAGGTAGAAGGGTGTTGTAACAGTCCCAATAAAAGTGACTAAGCTTGAACTAGGACAGTAGCAGTGGAAATGGAAAGGAGTAGAGGCATTTAAGAGCTATTTTAGAAGTAGAATTGAAAGTACTGGGCAAATGACATGAGGTTTAAGGAAGACAGAGGAATCAAAGATGATTCTCAGGTTTTGAACCTAAATAACTAGGATCACCATTGACAGAATTAGGAGAGTTAGGAGTAGGGAAAGGGAGGGGAAAAGGTGATTAGTTTGGTTTTGGACATTTTGGGCTTGAGGGTTTGGTGGGACATTCAGACAGATGTTTAGCAGAGCCTGGGAGAGTTGGAAAAAAGGTGATTGAGAAGTCATTTACACAGACATCAAAGAATCCTTGATCTAGAAGTAGAAGGGATAGATATCATCTAGATTATTTCCTTCATTTTGCAGATGAGGAAACTGAGGCCAAAAGAGGAAATAAGGAAGGAAACAAGCATTTATTAAGTGCTTACGATGTGCCAGGCACTGTGCTAAACACTTTATAAATATTGTCTTATTTGATCCTCAGAACAGCTCTCTGAGGTAGGTGTTATTGCCCCCCCTTGTAAGGAAGGTGAATTTTAGTGTGTGTGAAGTGGATTTTTTGCTATTCTTTCTTAGAGTTTTCTTCCCAGGATCCACAGCCATAACATTCTCTACTTCCCAGGTGTTAGAAATGAGTTCTTGCGATGGTGGTTCAAAACAGTTTCTACTACACAGTCTCAGTAGATAAAGGGATGAAGTGATGTAAAATTGTGAGGCTGTTGCTGGCAGCATGCCTTCTTTGTTGCCCTGTAAAGCAAGTGGGCACTGGTCAGTGGCTGGGGATCCCCATAGGGGTGAATGTGCAGGCTGAATGCTGTGCATGCCTTGATAGGCCCCCACCAAGGCTTGAGAAGGGGAATCTGTGTTTTTCCTCAACCGGCCCCCATTGAGGCTTGAGGGCATTTAGGGGAGTGCACAAGTTGTGCTGGTCTCAACTGACCCCATCAACACAAGGGGTAGTTGCCCCCTCTTCACGCTGGCCCCAGTGAGAAGGGTTGTTAGGGAATGCTGTAGGAGTTGGAGCTCCCATTATCAGCAAATTCCCTTTGAGAAGACTAGACGACAATAAAATAAGCTTATTTAACTCCTTATTACGACTCCATTCCTGTCTTCCTGTCTGAACGAATCAAAAGTGAATCTGCTAGTGGAAAAAGTGCTAGAAGCCCTCCTGTGTCTCCTTCCTAAGAAATGGCGTAGTCGATGTGTTTATTTGTCCACCCCTTTTATAGTTGAAGAGACTGAGGCAGACAAAGCTTAAGTGACTTGCCCAGCATTACACAGGTGATAAATGTCAGAGGTGGGATTTAAACCAAGGTCCTTTGAATTCAGAGTTAGTGTTCTTTTCACTGTTCTTATCTGCTTGGGGTAATAGTTGAAGTTGTAGGAGTGAAATAAGATTGTTAAAGGAAATTATAGAGGGAGAAGAGGATAAGGAACGAGAGCAGGACATAGAGTGATCGATGTTGGAAGAGAAAGAAGAGCCTGGAGCAGGGATTCTTCTTCTTTTTTTTGCTTGTTTAGTATAGGAGATCTTTTTTATTTTTTCATTTTTAATCTTTTATTTTTTTCCCCAATTACGTGTAAAATGGTTTTTGACTTTTTTTTTTTTAAAAGTTTTGAGTTCCAAATTCTGTCCTTCTCTCCCTCCCTACCTCCTCCCTGAGTTGGTAAGCAATCTGCTATAGGTTATATATGTTCTGTAAAATATTTCCATATTAGTCTTTTTGTTGAAGAAAGCTTGAATAAAACAAAAAGAAAGAAAGTGAAAAATAGTATATTTCCGTCTCTATTCAGACACCACCAGTTACTTCCCTGGAGGCAGATAACATCTTGCATCATGAGTTCTTTGGGATTGTCTTGGATGGTTGTATTACTGAGAATAGTTAAGTCACTCACAGTTGTTCATCATACAATATTGCTGTTACTGTGTACAGTATTCTCTGGTTCTGCTCACCTTACTCTGTATCAGTTCATGTAAGTCCAGGTTTTTCTGAAACCATTCTGCTCATTATTTCTTATA